GCATAAATGGTTCCTATTCATATATAATAAAAGGAAATATGAAAGACAAAGCAAAAATGATTTTTATATCCATTTAAACCAATAAATCCCAAAATAAAAAAATATAGATATTTACTTAAAAACATATTTTTCTTGATATAAAATAAAAATATAACCTTTAGTACAAATTACAAAAAAAAAATTTATTCAACAGAGCAACTTATAATACAATTTAAATTGAATCATTGTTTCATAAATATTAAGCTTTAGGTAAGCCATAATCAAGTCAGCTATAAGAAACGGAACTAAAAATGAAACAAAGTTATTTAAACGCATAATCATAATCATACACATTAATTACAAATTAACATGTCATGCAATCAATACTTTTGAAAACTCAAAAATGCGAATAAGAAACTTACTTTTTTATTTTTACATAACCCTGACAGACCAACATGAATGTGAGCTAAATCTATTTGCATAAAACATCACAACAATTAATTAAATAGCAGAACCACCTCCAAAGGACAAAAAAATTAGTTTTTTAAGGAAAATTAGAGTTATTGGGAGGGGAGGTATTAATAAATAAAAAAGCTCAACTTGAATTTCAAAATTAGTTCATAGTTTTGTTGAAGGTTATTGAGTTATTCTGAGTTTATTATACATATTTTAAACTACTGACACCACACACTTATATTCTTAGTTCTGGAAGGTGCTACATAGAATTTGATTGTGTGAAAACCAAATCCCTTTGAGATTAACATTAACTTTATCAAATGTATGACCGTGACTTTTATTTCTAGTTAATGAGCATTGTTGATAAAGGTGTCTTTATTTAAATGATTTACTTTGATAACATTTAACATTCACGGGAAAAATTAAAAAACAACACAAAAATAAATTTACAAAAATATATTACAAAAAAAAAAATGAAGTGGCTCAAAAGTTGTCAATTTCTTTACATTTTAATATGTAAAAAAATTATTGACAACTTTTGCGCCACGTTGTCTTCTCCTCCCAGCATCCGCTCTATTCCCCGTGTTGTATGGGGTGCCATCCCTCCATCTAAAGGAGGGATGGTCGGCCGATACCAGCGATGGAAGGCCCTCATAGATAGAGGGCCTGGATACTGGGAGCGATACTTTCTGAATTCTTCCCATGACTTCGAGCCTGAAAAAAAAATTATATATAAATACAACTATGTACCAAGGTAATACTTACAAAAAATCTACTGTAAAAAAACAATAAAAGCAAATAATGTAATAAATTAAGTACAAGTGAGCACAACAACTTATTTATTTTACTCACTAATACTTGACTTATTACATTAACTAATTAAACTGGAAAGCACATTTGTAGCTATATTAAAAAACAAAAGGTACAATAAAAGCAATCAATCAATGTAATAAGTCAGGTAAAGGTGAATAGAACAACTTACTTGTAACGGAAGAAGCAGCAGCTAGAGATAAATAAAAGAAAATTAAAAAAGCAATAAAACCAATTAATCCATAAATTAAGTCAAGTATAAGTGAATAGAACAACTTACTTGTAACAGAAGAAGCAGCAGCTAGAGATAAATAAAAGAAAATTAAAAATGCAATAAAAACAATCAATCAATGTAATAAGTTAAGTAAAAGTGACTTACTTATAACAGAAGAAGCAGCTAGAGATAAATAAAAGAAAGTTAAAAATGCAATAAAACCAATTAATCCAATTTAAGTCAAGTATAAAAGAATAGAACAACTTACTTGTAACAGAAGAAGCAGCAGCTAGAGATAAATAAAAGAAAGTTAATAATGCAATAAAACCAATTAATCCAATTTAAGTCAAGTATAAGTGAATAGAACAACTTTCTTGTAACAAAAGAAGCAGCAGCTAGAGATAAATAAAAGAAAATTAAAAATGCAATAAAAACAATCAATCAATGTAATAAGTTAAGTAAAAGTAACTTACTTATAACAGAAGAAGCAGCTAGAGATAAATAAAAGAAAATTAAAAATGCAATAAAACCAATTAATCCAATTTAAGTCAAGTATAAGTGAATAGAACAACTTACTTGTAACAGAAGAAGCAGCAGCTAGAGATAAATAAAAGAAAATTAAAAATGCAATAAAACCAATTAATCCATAAATTAAGTCAAGTATAAGTGAATAGAACAACTTACTTGTAACAGAAGAAGCAGCAGCTAGAGATAAATAAAAGAAAGTTAAAAATGCAACAAAACCAATTAATCCATAAATTAAGTCAATTATAAGTGAATAGAACAACTTACTTGTAACAGAAGAAGCAGCAGCTAGAGATAAATAAAAGAAAATTAAAAATGCAATAAAACCAATTAATCCATAAATAAAGTCAAGTATAAGTGAATAGAACAACTTACTTGTAACAGAAGAAGCAGCAGCTAGAGATAAATAAAAGAAAATTAAAAATGCAATAAAAACAATCAATCAATGTAATAAGTTAAGTAAAAGTGACTTACTTATAACAGAAGAAGCAGCTAGAGATAAATAAAAGAAAGTTAAAAATGCAATAAAACCAATTAATCCAATTTAAGTCAAGTATAAGTGAATAGAACAACTTACTTGTAACAGAAGAAGCAGCAGCTAAAGATAAATAAAAGAAAATTAAAAATGCAATAAAACCAATTAATCAATGTAATAAGTTAAGTAAAAGTGACTTACTTATAACAGAAGAAGCAGCTAGAGATAAATAAAAGAAAGTTAAAAATGCAATAAAACCAATTAATCCAATTTAAGTCAAGTATAAGTGAATAGAACAACTTACTTGTAACAGAAAAAGCAGCAGCTAGAGATAAATAAAAGAAAATTAAAAATGCAATAAAAACAATCAATCAATGTAATAAGTTAAGTAAAAGTAACTTACTTACAACAGAAGAAGCAGCTAGAGATAAATAAAAGAAAATTAAAAATGCAATAAAACCAATTAATCCAATTTAAGTCAAGTATAAGTGAATAGAACAACTTACTTGTAACAGAAGAAGCAGCAGCTAGAGATACATAAAAGAAAGTTAAAAATGCAACAAAACCAATTAATCCATAAATTAAGTCAAGTATAAGTAAATAGAACAACTTACTTGTAACAGAAGAAGCAGCAGCTAGAGATAAATAAAAGAAAATTAAAAATGCAATAAAACCAATTAATCCATAAATTAAGTCAAGTAGAAGTGAATAGAACAACTTACTTGTAACAGAAGAAGCAGCAGCTAGAGATAAATAAAAGAAAGTTAAAAATGCAACAAAACCAATTAATCCATAAATTAAGTCAAGTATAAGTGAATAGAACAACTTACTTGTAACAGAAGAAGCAGCAGCTAGAGATAAATAAAAGAAAATTAAAAATGCAATAAAACCAATTAATCCATAAATTAAGTCAAGTATAAGTGAATAGAACAACTTACTTGTAACAGAAGAAGCAGCTAGAGATAAATAAAAGAAAGTTAAAAATGCAATAAAACCAATTAATCCAATTTAAGTCAAGTGTAAGTGAATAGAACAACTTACTTGTAACAGAAGAAGCAGCAGCTAGAGATAAATAAAAGCAAGTTAAAAATGCAATAAAACCAATTAATTCAATTTAAGTCAAGTATAAGTGAATAGAACAACTTACTTGTAACAGAAGAAGCAGCAGCTAGAGATAAATAAAAGAAAATTAAAAATGCAATAAAAACAATCAATCAATGTAATAAGTTAAGTAAAAGTGACTTACTTATAACAGAAGAAGCAGCTAGAGATAAATAAAAGAAAGTTAAAAATGCAATAAAACCAATTAATCCAATTTAAGTCAAGTATAAGTGAATAGAACAACTTACTTGTAACAGAAGAAGCAGCAGCTAGAGATAAATAAAAGAAAATTAAAAATGCAATAAAAACAATCAATCAATGTAATAAGTTAAGTAAAAGTGACTTACTTATAACAGAAGAAGCAGCTAGAGATAAATAAAAGAAAGTTAAAAATGCAATAAAACCAATTAATCCAATTTAAGTCAAGTATAAGTGAATAGAACAACTTACTTGTAACAGAAGAAGCAGCAGCTAGAGATAAATAAAAGAAAGCTAAAAATGCAATAAAACCAATTAATCCAATTTAAGTCAAGTATAAGTGAATAGAACAACTTACTTGTAACAGAAGAAGCAGCAGCTAGAGATAAATAAAAGAAAGTTAAAAATGCAACAAAACCAATTAATCCATAAATTAAGTCAAGTATAAGTGAATAGAACAACTTACTTGTAACAGAAGAAGCAGCAGCTAGAGATAAATAAAAGAAAATTAAAAATGCAATAAAACCAATTAATCCATAAATTAAGTCAAGTATAAGTGAATAGAACAACTTACTTGTAACAGAAGAAGCAGCAGCTAGAGATAAATAAAAGAAAATTAAAAATGCAATAAAACCAATTAATCCATAAATTAAGTCAAGTATAAGTGAATAGAACAACTTACTTGTAACAGAAGAAGCAGCAGCTAGCGATAAATAAAAGAAAGTTAAAAATGCAATAAAACCAATTAATCCAATTTAAGTCAAGTGTAAGTGAATAGAACAACTTACTTGTAACAGAAGAAGCAGCAGCTAGAGATAAATAAAAGAAAATTAAAAATGCAATAAAACCAATTAATCCATAAATTAAGTCAAGTATAAGTGAATAGAACAACTTACTTGTAACAGAAGAAGCAGCAGCTAGAGATAAATAAAAGAAAATTAAAAATGCAATAAAACCAATTAATCCATAAATTAAGTCAAGTATAAGTGAGTACAACAACATACGTTACTGAGGAAGTTGGATTTGTCACTATATAAGTGATTACATTATATTATTTATTAAAACTTTTATGAGACATAAAACATAATATAGTTACTTACAAATGTAGTTTAAAATGATATCTAAAAAAATTGACCAAAAAGTACAAAGTCCAAAACTAATCTCAAATTGAAAAAACGCATTTAATATTAGATGTACATAAATAATTAGGGTGTATAATAAACATAAAAGCAATTTTACTCGCCTATGGACTTTTGTAAATCTTCTAATTTTTCTAAATAGATAAACAAATTACTAAAGCCAACCTCATTATTTTTTATTTAATATACATAAAAGTAATATAATGAAATTTTGCTTACTAACTCTACTTTCTAAATTTTCTAAATAAACAAAATGTATGAAAGATTAGTTCATAAATTTATTTACTGTAACATAAACTTCGAAAAAACTGAAGTAAAAAAGAAAAAATAGAAAATGCTAACTTTGATTATCTAAGAATTCTTTCAAATAAGGCAGAAAAGACTCTGTCTCTTCTGCCACTACCTCCTGCGCATCTAAGATATACACACAATACAATATATACATTTAGCATATCATATGATAAAGCACTACATCTAGTCTAGAAAATATAATAATCACAACATCTGGTCTAGAAAATAAATTCCAAGTTTCTAGTTGAAAAACACAAAGATTTTTTTCTTATTTCAAGATTGGAATTTTACATATAATAATGAAATTTCACTATTAAATAGCTGCGTGTATATAACTATATAACTATTACCAACAATCAAATTACTATTAGTATACAAATATTTGATAAAAAATATGCTACTGATTTCTCCATACTTGAAATAAATTTTTTATAACTATCACTTTATATAAATAAAAATTGTTTACTTCTAAAGAAATTATAGTTTACTTACTTCTAAAAAAGTCACCATCATCGTCTAAAAAGAGAATTACTTGATATTTTTATTTATTTCCAATAAATAAAATATGATAGCAGTGCTTATTTTGTCTATCAGTTAACCCAACACTGTTTATAAGAGTGTAAATTGTTTGTCTATTTATATTTATATATTTATATATGCGTACTAAATAAAGTATAGCGTTTGTGCTGTATACGCATATATTAGATATATATAGATATATAGATATAATATCTAATATAAGCGCATATAGCACTAACACACATATGCAATAAATACATACCGTTTAAATTTTCTTGTGTGTTCATTTCTAAAATAAAAAGTAAATATTTATTCTCAATTCTTACACATATTCTTAAGTCTAATTTAACTTAAAATCATAAAAACTTAATTTGAAGATTTTAGATATTCAAAACAGTAACTCACTCAGATTCTAAAACTATAAGAGAGCTATAATGAGCGCGTGGCTGTCTTTTGAGTTGTTTAAGCATCCAGGTGGCTTGCAAAATGTAATCTTTAATCGCTTATATTTCTTTAGATTTTAAAATACGCTATTCGAAAATCGGATTTTGAGTATTTATAATTAAGAGAATTATGTAATTTATGCAAACAAAAAGAAGGGGAAATTCAAGGGTTGCAAGACGTCCGGCTTTTATGAAGAAGAAAGCAGTAATAGAACTGAACTGTATATGTTTGGGACTATATTCTACTCTGTAAAAGCCGGTCATTTGGCAAACCTAAGTAAAAATGATGTTACACATTACAAAGAGACAATATAGTGAAAACAATATCAGCATTTCCATGTATATCAGGAAATTTGAATCCTGTGTTTAAGCGAGTCATTGTGCGATAGTTCTTTTCAAGTTGTTTTTGCTGCTTTTTGAAACTTAAATTACAATTATAAAATAAAATGAAAAAAAGACATCAAATATAAATACTGGAAAGTTTTCATACTGTTTTAATAGACCAATAGAATAATTTATTGATGAAAACAAAGTTTCTTAGACCCGCAGTACTCCTACAACACCACACTAAAACAGTTTCTCTACCACACATAACATTTTCTACTATTCCTAACATAGTTGTTATTGGTGACTAAAATTAGAAGAGCATAAGATTTTTTTTTTACTTAACAAAATAAGAGTTATAGATTTTTCTATAACTCTAACTAAAATGCTACAAAAGAACTCGGTTTCCTGTAAAACGTTTTTCGAAAATAAATAGAAAAAGCTTTGTTTTTTATTGTGGTGTTAAATCGAATGAAACAATAATTGTTTATGGATTAAGTAATAAAGGTCCGGTAACTTTATTTATCTAAGACAATTCGTAATTTATTTTTCTGCCATACACTAAAAAATATCGAAGTAAATGGTTGGTGTGAATTAAGTTTTTATGATGCCTAAGTATGCGCAATTTTTCCACATACTTTTGGTTTATTAGAATCGTATATTTATATCATATGCCAATATTTTGATGATTCGAAACAAAAACTTTGAATTGAAGATTTTTAAGGTATTTTAAAGAAATAACGCCATCTAACGTAGTGATGAGCAGATTCGAAAATTACGTGGACCTAACAAAAGTGTATTTAACATAGTTACCAATTACGTGACATTTCTCCCAGTGTTTTGGCAAACTTTTTTATAAAATTTAACCTTTCCTATTTAAAAAGGAGAAGTATTTGACAAAGAATCAGGTGACGAATCCTAATTATGTCAAAAATTAGCTCTATTTGTTTGAAAAGCAAATTTTCTACAATAAACTCGCAACAAATTTTTCTAAATGTTTATAAATTAGCAAATTATTAAACTACTATAGCTATTATTTGTACCGAAAATTTGTAAAATACTTAATGGGAATGGAACTATCTAGATCTGTAATTACCATGGTAATAAAAGTATTAACGGTTTCCATTCATATATAACGGAGATATATATAAAAAAAGCAAAATGAGCAATGTATCCATCAAATACTATAATTCCAAAGAGAAAAATTTTACAAATTTGTGTGAGAAACAAAAAACATTTTTCTTGAGATAAAATTAAAAAAATAATTTTTTTTTTTTTAAATTTTACAATATCTATTATATATAACATAAAAAGTATCAGAAGTACTTTATAAAATCAATTTGATTTGTTTCCCTATAATATATCTTTTAGTAAATGGTATAAAGATTAACAAAACTTCCCTTTGGATGTTAAAAAACGATCAACATTAAGAGAAGGCATTCGAACTAAAATAAAACAAAATTATTGAAAACATAACACATTAATGTACTCTTTTATTTAAAAACTCAAAAGTGTGACCAAGGCGATATCAAATAAGAAACTTACTTTGAGATTGTTTTTTTTGTGTGAATAGGTTTTGTGTAAAGGTTTCAAGATTTTTTGTTGCAAGTTTCGATTATAAACTCTTTTCAAAAAAAGCACACTAAAAATAACCAAAAAAAGATAAACCCTTACAGTTTAATATAAAAATTGAATGCTTGGCTTTTAGTGAATGATTATATATAGTCAGTTTCAGTATGAAACAACCCTATAATCATTTTTAACGATAGACACCGACGTGAAGGTAAGCCAAGTCGTCTATCAACACAAAACATCACAACAGTAACATCACAAACATCAATAACAAATAGCACAAAATCTTACAGTAAAGACTCAATAACTTAAACCACCAAAGGATACAGCAATTAGCTTATTAGAAAATATTTCAGTTAGTGGTAGTATGATCCATAAACAATCGCTCAACTGGAATTTTAAAATTAGTTTGATTTATTCAAGTTGATTTATTGAGTTATCCAGACTTTATTGTAAATACTTTATTTACTAACAGCATAACATACTTGCAAGTACACATTTTGTGATTACAAACAGATTTTATTATGTGTTTCATGTCAGTACGCCGCTTGGCTAGCAAGGACAACACTCTTGCCATAAACAAAGCCAAGTCACATTATTCAAAGTACGCCGCTTGGCTAGCAAGGACAACACTCTTGCCATAAACAAAGCCAAGTCACACCACTTTGAAACCATGAAAACAACATAATAACAACTCACAAACTATAAACAGATAACATAACAAAAAATACACTTCATATGTAACAGCCATTTACACATTAATTACACATAAATACTTACAAAATATAACATACTTATAAGTACACATTTTGTGATTACAAACAGATTTTATTATGTGTTTCATGTCTGTACATCACTTGGCTAGCAAGGACAACACTCTTGCCATAAACAAAGCCAAGTCACATTATTCAAAGTACACCGCTTGGCTAGCAAGGACAACACTCTTGCCATAAACAAAGCCAAGTCACACCACTTTGAAACCATGAAAACAACATAATAACAACTCACAAATTATAAACAGATAACATAAAAAATACACTTCACATATAACAGTCATTTACACATTAGTTACACATAAACACTTACAAAATATAACCTTAACACATATTTAAACACATAATAAATATCACACATTACTGCATCAAGCAACACACAAAAATACTTTAAATTACAGTTAAAATATTTATAAGAAATGAGGAGTTTAATTGTAAAAAATTAATTATTTATAGATTTAGTACATTGGTAAATACAACATTGTTTGTGTAGCATTTGTTAAATGACATACCTTGTAATGAATGCTCATCAATTTTAAAAAATAAGGTATTAAACGATCTTGTTCTTGAACATGCAACATAGAGTTGACCATGTGAAAAGCAAGGGTTTTTGAGATAAATACCAACTTTGTCAAAAGTTTGACCTTGACTTTTATTTATGGTCATTGAGTATGCTAATCTTACAGGAAATTGACGACGCTTAAGAGTAAAAGGTAAATTTGAATCAGATTGTGTTAACTGAACCCGAGGGACAAATACCCTCTTGCCAACTGAAACACCTGTTAGAACTTGCCCATCAATGTAATTATTTTGTAGAGCACGCACTATCAATCGGGTACCATTGCAAAGTCCAGCTTTTAGATCTAAATTTCCAAGTAACATTATAACAGCACCAATTTTTAGCTTTAGGCAATGAACAGGCATTCCTGATGGAGTAAGACTGTTTAAAAACTCAACAGGAAAATTATTGATTTCGTTAAGATCATCTGTTTCAATAGTATCAGCACTTAAATAAACCTTAACGTCACCTGGTAAACGGTCCAAAACTTCTTCATTTATTGCTAAAGAATCAACATTATTGGGCGTCAAAATGGCACGTTTAGCATAATCATCTTCTTCTGCAACTCCAAAAATCTTGTCTACTAAAGATTCATTTTCTCCAAGCAAGCATTGCTCAGGAATCTCAATGCACCCGCGAAAGGAACCATCTGCTTTTAAAGGTAATGTTCCACTACCAAGTTTTAAAAGCCATTGAGAGAATTCCTCTTCTTCGGCCTGAACCCTCATATTTTCTGTTAATGAAAATCGCTGAACATATTGCCAATGTTGAGAACATTTTATACAGGCTTCAACAATATCAGCTGGTTGCCCTCTCTTTACAACCGGAAGTATTTGCCTAAAATCCCCACCCATAAGAATAACTTTACCACCGAAAGGAAACTTGTTATTGCAAACGTCTTGAAGTAACTTATCAATGGCATTTAAAGCATGTTTAGGTATCATGGATGCCTCATCTAGTAAATAAAGGCTAACTTGCCTCAAGAATTTTCCGTGTATAGAATTTGGAGTTACATTGCATGTGCTATTTTCCAAAATCGGCACAGGAAGTTTGAACAAACCATGAAGTGTACATCCTTTTTTTAAAAGAGTTGCAGCTATTCCTGTCCATGCAGCTGTTGCAGTTATAATATGTCTACTGCTGGTTTCAGCGATTAAATAATTGTATGTAAATGTTTTGCCACAACCTGCAGGGCCATCCATAAAAAACAATCTAGGCTGCTTGTTTTCATTGTTAGGTTGCTCACTAAGAGCAGAAAGGATAGCATCAGCAATTTGACGCTGATTATCATTTAACAATGGTCTAACCCTATTTGCTTCATTAATTAAAACCTGAACATCTTCCTCTTCATTTTGTGGGACATAATCTAAAAACTCATCTAAAGTAGGAAGA